TACGGCGATACAGATTATTCAATTTTAAGGAGACTATCGATGAAGCTACGTGAATAAGCGACGAGAGTTCGTAGTCTCGGATGGTCAGTACCTCGAGGGTTTTTACAAGACGACATGAGACTTTTACATACGATATCTCGGACACCTTCCATATTAGATGGCCATTCCTGCGTCGAAAGGATTTGGTGTGAATGAATGGATTTCGGGAATATATCGGATTGTGTGAGTGGGCTGATCGGAAGACACAGTTTACATATGACCTGCGAAAACTTGGAGTCAGTTTTGATGTTCCTATACAGCTTTCTGACTGCTGCCATATTCCAGTCCTTGTAGACTAGAGCCGCTGAGTATAAGTCCTTCTGCTCGGCATGAAGCGAAAACGGCTCCTCGTCGTCTACATGATCCATATTTTCGATCACAGCACTAGCAATGGAAGCGAAAGAGTAGCAGTGGCCACCTTCTCTATCTCGGGTTTTTTTGGCTCTACATTCTTTAGCTTTTAACTACGAGTTTTCATAAATGTGGGAACTATTTATCTATCGAAAACGAAGTTTGGTCAGAAATTGTGAGTAACTTGTTGATGTTTTGATGCGCAGGCCATGTAGATGTTTGAATTAAGCTGATCCACCAACATTTGGTCATAAATTGCAAACGTTTCATACTTCAAATTATTCAATTGTCCAAGTAAGGAGACAGTAGATTCAATATTAATGCAAACGATCTTGTATCAAGGCAGAGAACCAGCTTGATTTGACTTTCGTTCTGTAGCTCCGAGCTAGATTGTACGTAATCACGAACTCGGAAAGATTCACAAACTGTAGAAACGACGACACAAACAGGGGTCAAGACGAGATGACGCGATGAGGAACTATTGCAGGAACTGCTATTTCGTATTTTGATTTAAATTCTATACATTAATGTAGCCCGAGGGGATGCTCTAACCTACGCTTTCTGGCACAGCTTCCCTGATCTTTTAACGCTAGACACCTCCAATACATCCCGATACATAGTTTGTGGTTTGTAGCTGCAGCAACACGTTCACGTAACTGAATACCTTGTTGCGTCAAGTCGTTTGGTAGTCCCTGAGCAATTGCTCCAGCAAACAACAGCTCTCCAACGCCCTCAAGTTCCAATACCGCGGAGCTCGAAGGTCTTAGCATGTAGGCCACCATCAAGGCATTACCTGACAAGACATGTCCCAAAATACCAAGGCCAAATCTGAGGAGCTCCATTTTATGCAACCTAGCTACAATCTCTCCCATATTGTCATCCGTCAAATCCAAGTCATCGGTTGCCGCAAGTGATAGTTCTTGGAGATTCGGCAGGACTGTCGCCAAGCTCCCGTAATCTGCCTGTTCTTCATCTGTTTGATAACGGAAGATCCATTGAGATCACACTGTTCAATGGATTCGACCTTATTGAGAGTCCACCAGCAATAGCGTCCTCATCACATAATGTCAGGTCCTTTAGCGATGGGAGGTGTTTTCCAGGAATATTCGATGTTCGACAAAGGTCTGCTCCAAACACAACTCCAGCGTCTCTAACGTGGTGGATGACTTTATCAACGATCTCTCGAGTTCTATTCAGAGAGTCATGTAATTGTCCATAGTAAAGATATTCAATGCAATGACTCTTTACCTTCGACCACTATCCCTTCAACAAAAGAGAGGCGCAAAACCTCAAATTGACAAACCAGTAAAGACTGGAGATATCCAGTCGGCATATTACTACTCTTCACTTCTACACTGATCAGATTGATAAATGTCCCGTGAGTAGCACACGAGATGTCGTCTAGAACACTCATAATGCAAATGCTACGAGTGTTTCTTTGCTGCCTTTGACCAGAGAAGTCCATTCAACACTATCTATCACACTAGGAGTTTCGAAAGTCCCGACAGTCCCGAGATGCCATTTGCTCGGGGCTTCGCTAATGGGTCCCGGGATACAGGCACTGCAGTTATTCTAATGAATTGATTTCGGGATGTGTTGAGGCAAATTCCAACAATTTACCGGGTAGTCTCACTGCAGATTCGTTAGCTTACGTCACTTCTAAAGTTGTCATAGATGGGAATATGTAACCTCAACAACGAGAGACAGATCGTGAGATATTTGAGATGTTTACAACATGATATAAGGGTACTCGCTATTATATGACGAATGTGTCTTTGCTCGACAGGCCATTTGGTTAATGTACGGATCTTTGTGTAAGCCAATGGGTTCTGCTAGGATTCGGCCGCCGCAATGTTGGATGATCCAGTTGAATGATGCGAAGAAGCGCTTACGATAAGTGGTGATTTCACAATATATCTTTCGAAGCGTTGCCAGATTCCAATCCTTGGATACGACAGCTGTTGAGTATAACGTCCTTTGATCCGTGTGCCAATACGACAATACCATCTAGCACTACTAATGGCACGGACAGTAGGAGTAACGGCCATATTGTGCGAATTTTATGTTACGTTATAAAAATGATAATAAAATTGATATGTCAAGCCTATGGAATTTGTGGTAGAAAATCGTGTAAATTCAATCAAATGTTGACAACAAAGCATGAGGATGAAGGGCTTTGATAACACGGAATAATAACTTCAGGATTCAATTGAGCGTTGATGACGCTCCAATACTGCCGAATACATCTGCCTGTTGTTTTGGCTCATGCATTCTATTGGGATTATAGTCCCGCAAATTTACGATTATTACAACACTTAAAACCCCGCTAAAGTTGCTAATTACTCCCCATATGTTACTGGACATCTGCTTGTCACCATTCGAACACTCGCCTGTCTCTCTGGGGGGCTTATGCAGCCAGATCAAGCGAGGACTAATAACCGCAACAGAGCTGATACGATGTCCACGGGTTTTGGAACTGTAGTCGAGCTTGATGTTCGAAACCGCTTACGCTGGATCTACCTCGGCTTGGCAGCGACCTCTGTAGGTTTGCAACAACAAGATGTGAGGTTTCAACTAGACGTTGACTGGAGCACTATACAATATTTGATTATATACATATATCATGATTAATTTATACTGCATTGCTGCATAATTGCTGCAAGAATATGTTAGGTTGCTGAAATGTTTACAATAGGTGATGGTGATTGACGTCCAAGCTGCCTATTCCTTAACCAACGAGCACAGCAAGCCAAGATGCAGGCAATGATGACAGCTCCGCTGCAGAGCAGTAGCCCACCAGGAGAATTACCGAATGGCGATGCTACTGCGCCATTGACGAATACTAGAAATGTGATGCAGGTTAGAACTGCTTCCTTTTAGCGAAAAAGGCAATTTCAATGTTCCTCACAGTATAGAGGCATTCCAAGGATGACTCCAAACGTCTGCATAAAAAGGAAGAGCCCGACGGTCGTTGTTGGATTGGCCTTTTCGGGAACAAGTGCAGACGCGTTTGTCGAATAAAGTGGCAGCATGGCGCCAGTTAGAGTCCTTGATTCCAAAAATGAGTATCATCATGTTTTTAGACAAGAGAACTTGTTTGGCCAAAAGCCAAACTTACCCAGCAAGCACTCCAAATCCATTATCTGTCAGCAATCCAGGCCCGAGAAGCAGAAACAGCGCCAAGAGTAGTGACGACACTATCATGGTCCTTGCCCGTCCAAGGAATACATCTGCTAGCAGAGAAACTACGACAGACCCCAAAGCCAAAGAGCATATAAATATCCACCCCCACTTGTTTAAAAGTATCAATGGCTGAATGGCGACAGACAAGGGAATGGAAGCTAAAAATCCAACAGTGAAAGCTGGCGTCCTGTGATGGCTCATATGATACTTGGGCACAATGCCGATGTTTCGCGTTTCTACTATAGGCGCTAGTCCCATCAAGACTATAAACGTAACCGCACCCCAAGCACAGCTTGGAGCATGGCCGAATGCCTCGATTGCATAAAACCAGGAAACTGACGATAAGTATCCACACCCGAATACACATGCAGTAACTGATGTGACATGTGTTGGGAAGAGAGAGTGCAGTAGCCCGAGTATTGGAATGAGTATTAGTGCACCTCCAATTCCGCATAGTATGGCATATACAAAGACGGTCCATTCTGAGATGGAGGAAGAGGACATGAGAATGTACAGGTAACATGAACGACTACGTCGAAATTTTACCTGTAACTCTCTGCAGATAACCCGCAATTACTAACCCGGCACAGTAAAGCACGATTCCAAAAATAAATGAGCATCTTGGTCCTACACCTTCACAGACTCTAGAGGCACCACTCGACGATAAGAAGAGCATCCAGAGTGCAGATGATGGTAGAAAGTATTGAAATACTTTGATATCAAACACGGAAATAAGTGTGTAAACTAGCGGGTACGCTTGGGGTATGCCGTACTAGATATCAAGAGCATTTTAGACATGAGGTGGAGTGGAAGACGTCCGGGAATCCTTACCAAGGGGGCAATGACGATGGCGCTTGACAACATTCCAGCAACCAGCAGGACGTATCTATACCACGGAAACATGACGTGATACGGTACGTGTTCATACTTGAGGGTTAGATCTACGGGTTTGGCTGATATAGTTGTGGGTGGTTCTAGAGCGAAAAGGTCATCGTCGTTGTCGTTTATAAGAGTAACATCTCCCAGATCTTGTTCATCGGATTCGGATAGACGATATAATGCGTCTTTCCGGACGATTTGATCATCGTCACCATCGTTCTCGTCATGGTGGTGATTTACGTTGATGATCAGGGATTCAATGCCGGCTATCCACTGGTTCCGCGTCTTGATTTCGACATCATCGCGTTGAGACACGAGACTTTCTATTGATTCGGTTCTATTTTGAAGTGCCTTATTAGTTAAAAGGCGAAGTGTCTCCCGAAAACAAAACTTCGAAAACAGGACGAGAACGCTGATTGTTCCTACATATTTCTGGTTGAATATTTAGTTAGCCACCAAGACCATTGAGTCCCCGCCACCTTTGCTATCTCCTTGTCGGAGAAGTATTTTCGAATTTGCCTCCCTTCCTTCAACAGCTGGCAAACAACATGAGTGCGATGATGATGGGGAGGCTGAAGAAGGAGCTCAAGCAGCTTGAGGAAAATCCGCCCACTGGGATTACTTGCTGGCCAGACGAAAAGGATATACGAGTTCTACACGCTGGTAACCCGACATTTGGTCAAACCATTCGATGTTGGCTGCGAGCTTGTTGATCACAGAACAAACAACACATCCTAATCATTCACATTCTTCATTCTGTAGAAATACAAGGACCTGAATCAACTCCATACAGAGGCGGGGTCTTTAAGCTGGAGATTCAGCTGGGTGATAGGTGAACTCTGCTTTTGATGCCATGCTTGGTAGACCACTTTGCTCAACCTCGTCTACTTTCGTACAGATATCCATATGAACCACCAACTACCAGATTCATCACACCAGTAAGGCTCAAGAGCTCAAGCTTTCAAACTTGTAAGTCAATCAGCTTACAGTTAATCTGTCTAGATCTATCATCCAAACGTGGACGGCGAGGGTCGAATTTGTTTGGACTTGCTCAAAGGTGGACCGCCAAAAGTACAAATAACCTATCGATGTCGCAGCCTGAAGATGTGATCCTCACTCAACCTATCCTACAGGGTCAATGGAAGCCTACTCTGAACATCAACGCAGTCTTGACATCAATCCAAATATTGATGCAAGACCCCAATCCCGACGATCCACTTGAAATCGACATTGTAAGTTTTACTATCCTGAGACTGCAGCAGCTTTTTTTCTCCGGTTGACACTTCAAAATAGGCAAACGAATACAAAGCCGACAGAACCCTATACCATGACAACGCAACCAAACATACCCAAAAGCATGCAAAAGGAAACTCAATACAGATAGACAAGTCAGAGCTTCTACCACCACTAGCGCCATTAATGTCATCATTGGGTCGCAGGGAACGACGAGAAGTACCAACTCCAACATCACATACTGTGGTAGGTAAAAGTTATTCATTGTATCTTGCTTCTGTCTTACTCATCATGCTATTTTGATGTAGAAACCGTCATCATCTATACCCCACTCTCCTGTACACGGTAATGTACAGTTCGGAGGTCTTGTTGGCGCACCGGTAATGATGGTTTTCGAATTTAGGCTATTTTGCACGAGAAACTAACGCCATCTTCTCGTAGACGTCGCCCCGAACAGTAAAACGCTCATCCTTGAATCTCAACTTCAAGAAGAATGCTGTTGGTGACTCGCAATCTGCCAAAAGAGCAAAACTTGATGCAGACGTGCTATAAAAACAAAATCAAGCTCTAGTTGCGTTTGTATTTAGCTTTGCCTTTTTCACCGTGTCATGTACATAAATCTAATATTGCACTTTGGTGGTTGTGCAGAGGTTTGGATTGCTTCTTGTTTCAAAATTGTAAGTCGTTTGACACACCTTCAGCCAAAAACCAGCGCAGAGCAAACAACATTTCAACAAACTGTTGCACACTGTTGTTTTCTAACTCAAGAGTCTTATACTAGATCGCATACGCAGTACTTTATCAGTAATGGAGTATGGTAGCCAACCCCTTTACAGTGTCTCGCCAACAAACACTCGTCACGTTTCAGAGTCAACCAGGACATCAAATCAAGGATCAGCTCCATATAATACTGCTCGTTGGGGTGTACAATCGTTGGAAACTAGTCGAGAGAGTCTTTTGAACGTGCCAAACAGACAATATGGCCAACATCAACAACATGTTTCAACTTCTGTGACAGGTATGTTGGGACAGCAGAAGTGAAGCTGATTTTTGATGATTCAGTTGTACCTGTGGATCAGAATGGACTTAATGTTGAATTGTGGTGGTGCTCGATATCCTGAAAAGATCTTTCTTCATGACCTGTCAAAGACTCAGCTGTAGAACTTCTTTGCGCTTTGAAACTTTGTTCCTTCACAGCACAACAACTCATCATCAACCTTTGTAACATGTAGATACTCAAAGGAACTGGACCTCACAATCGTCTCCTTCTCCGTCTTCATCACGGCCCATTCAACACAACAATATGGTGCCTGGTCCGAAGGTACAAAACATATTCTATAACGGACATCAAATACGATCACTTCCGGTACAGTATCAACAACAACAATTTCCGTACCCTGTTAATCAAGTAAGCTCCCGTCATCCTGGATACACGTTTCTTCAGACGTCCATAGCGGAAAACCCTCAGCCTGAAACAGATATGCCTTCAAACCGACCGGTCATGATAACTAACCAGTATAATAGTGCTGCCGGCTGGTATCAACTTCCGTCTGCAACACCACGTCAGTATCATAGTCAGCAGCAGCAGCAGCAGCCGTTTGTCCAGAGTCCGCATTATATACAGCAACAGGCCCGACCGCTGGAAAAGTTGCAAGCTCATCACCACGCTCAGCTACCAATAGGTCGTGCAGAGTTTGATGCACCGAATTGGGCCAACTTCCAATTTCCTCTACAGCAGTCAACAATACCAAGACAACAGCAAGGTGACTCTAAGGCTCTGCAGCACGAAGCAGCAGATAGTTTACCTTCAGACACCGAAACGCTGCCATCATCATATCAATCCTCTTCAGATGAAGATGGCTATGACGACGATTGGGAAGAAGAGACTTCTACTAGTAAACTTGAACGCTCGAATTCCGGTAGTTCGGCCAAGGGAGAGAAGAGGAATGTCTGTAATGAATGTGGTATGGGGTTTAGACGTGCTGCGGATCTTCGAAGGCATGAGAACTCTAAGCATAAAAAGTCAGTCTTGCATGTTTGTTCCTTTTGTCAGAGGTGGGTTTTTTAAGAATTCTCGTTGCATAAGTGACACTGCACTGATTCATCATGTCTATCTATAGATCGTTCGCACGTGCTGATGCACTGAAGCGTCATAAGCAGGCTCCGAGCAAAGGATCTGCTCCTTGTGCGGGGCTCAAGAATCGACTCTCGGTTTTGATAGAACACAACGCTGCCCCTTGACATGCACAGTGATTATATAACAGCAGTTTGCTATTTCTTTGAGCTTTTACATACATACCTTATACATACATAAGATACAATCAAATATACTTTCGTAACGATTCAAGCATCTACGATAGCGGTTTACATTTTGACCCTGTTCATTCAAGAAATGCAAATGATAGCACGCCTATGGAATATGACCCGAAGCAGTTGCTACTATACATCATAACGACTAGGCTGTTCATCGCTCACAAGACATAGACTCTCAGAATCAAATCCTTTCGCTCGCTGTTTACATTGCATCGTCGAAACGATATGATAGCAGAGAGAGTATGACAACGGAGCTTTCGCAACAACTGCCAATTTGGAGATAAATTCGCGTTTTCCTTTGATTCCTTATGGAATTGATGACCTGGATCTATTAAGGGACTTCTGGATCAGTGTGACTCGTATCTCTGGTAAACTCCTATCGCTCCATTTTTTGCGACATTGTTTGAACACATTTTTGAACTATGGACGAATATGCGGTCGCTCAGGCTATCGTTCCAGAAATTGTAGAGCGTTAGACGGTTTAATACTCTTCACAGTCAAGATTCTGATAGAAAGCTGTTCCTCTTTGGAAAGTTGGTTGCAGAAAGTTGCCACCATTTAACTTTACTACTCTCGTCCAGTCTCCCTTGAATCAAATTCAAATTCAATTTCTCATTTCAAGAGTGTCGAGTGCGCCAAATTGCATGCTTACAGTCCTGGAGTCCCTTGTTCTTGAGTTCTGTTGTTCCTAATTTGAGATGCCAAGAGGTTTCACGTCAAGGCAAAGACTCTAGGGGAACGACTGTCTCGATTCTAGCAAGTCGCTATTGCTTCAGAATATGGTTGCATATACTCAGAATATCATGCTTTGTACAGAGAGGTTTATTGCTTCTTCAGCTTATTTTATAATACAATCAAATATACTACTCGCTAAGGTCGAAGCTTCTTCACTGGCGTATCTTCTACGAAGTCGTGGTCAATGGTGATTTCTATACCTGATTTGTCAGGTGTAGGGGGGACCATGATTTGTCTCTTCACTCCCGAAGCAGATCCACCAACCATACCACCTACTGCCTTGGCTCGTTGTTGCAGTGGGGCCTTGGCAAATATTGGTGCTTTTGGTGGAGAGGGTACATGCTGCATTATTGTTTCAGCATCAAGGAATGGGTTGAGTGGTACTCGGGATGCTGATCCTGTTGGTGTTTTGAGCATTCTGGTTGGCATTCTAGTCGTTGCTGCGGTTGTCTGGCTCGCTCGAAGAGGTGAGAATACAACAGTATTCTACATTAAAGGTAAGGATTCGTTATGTTACGCAAGCTAAAAAGCAATAAAACAGGAAATACCTTATCTCGATTTCCATTCCGAATACGTGCTCCAACCTCCATCTCCTTACGTATTTTGCCTCGATTAGCCTTACTTGCTTCAGCAGCCTTTGGATCCAGCCGTTTGGAGGGTGCCTTTCCAACCCAACTTTGCTTCAATGCTTCAGCAGCTGCGGCTTTCGATTTACTAGGTTTTGGCAACTTGACTTCTCGTTGTTGGATGAGCTTCAAAAGCTTGGAATCATATTGCTTTTTACGGCTATTCGTACCACCTCCTTTCGATTCACTGGCAGAGCTCGTAAGAGAACCACCATTTTGCGATAAACGACTGGAAGGATAGCCAGTTTCTGACATGACTCCTGGTGGCTTATCACTGGTTTGAGCAGCTGACAATGGTTGTTTCCACAGTTTCGAAGGAAGTCGTGACACCTGTTTCGACGGACTGAATGGTTGTGGTGCTGCTGGAGATGCGGCGGCCATATCAGTAGCAGCACCAGATTTGAGCAACAGAGAATTCACTAGATCTGGAAGTTGTGATTGATACCTAGATATGAAGTTCATTTGAGTATTGCGTTTGGCCAAAAAACAAACAGCGTAGGGGAAACCTCCTCACATCATCTTGATAATACCAGCTGCAAATCCAGAAACTCCAGACGACGAATCTGTAACTTCCTCTTCTATACCAGCAACCGAACCCCAAATACATAGACGATCCATCCATTCTTCAGCAGCATGCTTCAGGTGCTCGGATGGCGATTCTACCTCTGCTTCTTTGCCCTTGCCATTCGAATGTTTACGACGCTTAGATGGCGTTGTTGGCTGCTGTCCTTCTGCTGATTTGCGTTTACGAGAGCCCATTACAGCGCTCCGGTTATCTAGAGGTTTGGGAGCAGGTGCTACCAGAGACAATTGGGGAAGAGACACAGTCGTATACAGGGAAAGACGTAACATCTCCAGAATCAACACAATCTGCAATTGAGCCCTATTACACAGGAGAGATTGTAATGAGAGAGGTGAGACGACGGAGCAAAAAGGCACAAAAGCTACTTGGTTATGGTTCCAAGAACTTACTCGGTCATTCGCAACTCATTCATAGCATCTCGTATTACAGCCTTACGATCAAACACGCCTTCTTCGTCACTACGACGAGTAGTCCTGCTAAGATTCTCCCACTGAGTCATCCATGATTCGAGTGCTTCTGACTCAATTTTGTCAGGAATCATGCCTTCATTTTGCAAGAAGAGACACCCTTCTTTGACGGAATTGGCAAAGGCTTTACAGAATACACGACACTTGTCTTCAAATTTCGGTATGGGGATCAGAAGGGTTGATGCGAAAAAGTTCCAGATGAGGGTAAACTACGCAGAAAAAATTTACATATATCGGAGCTCGAGATTGCAGATTATACGATTAACTTACAGGCTCTTCCGATTCATCGGAATTTTCATGAATATATTGCATTGCTCGATGCAGTCCGTCAACTCCAAGAAGCGTAAGAAGAGGCATCTGTATTTGGGAGTGAGACCATGGCAAAATTGCAGTAATTACCAACGGGTACCTTCTCTGGTTCATAAAGCGCCATTATACAATGATGCCTTAGATCATTCAGTGCTTCGTCAATCGACGTGTATGAAGATGGTACAGACACGACATTGATTTCGTCGGTAACTTCAGCGGGAGTCACCTCTGCTCGCTCAGTCCTACAGACAAAAAATGGTTCACCTCAGAATGATTGATTTTGTATCGTCAGTCACAGTACATACGAAGCATCTACAACAGATTCCACAGTCGAGGGATTCAGTTTTGCATCCATGTCCCATACTCCAAGACTGGTTTTGACGAGGTCTGCAGCATTGATACCTTCATCAACGGAGCCATTCGAGTTGAAGAAATAGTCCATCAAAGAAGTATCCAGACCTTCCCCATACCACGCATCCACTATATCCCAGTCAATTGTGTCCTTTTCAGCTAAAAGAAACCAGAAGTGAGGTCTAGATATGTCTAATTTTCCCCAGACATGTCTAATTTTCCGATTCGTTTACCTGGCTGCATCTTCATTAGGGTATCAACAAAGTCTTGCTTGACTGGATGAAAACAGCCAATGCCAGGAGATAGTCCAGCAAGTATAGCTATTCGTGGCTCGTAAGTAGGAACTCCATAGCTGATTTCAACAATCACACCTAGTTGAGCTAGGAGCAGGCTCTCGAGGAAGGCGGATAACTGATTGGAAGAGTCGACAGTGCTACTCGTTTGTGGTATGACCACGTATGCTGCTGATTCTAACCAGAATCGTTTGACACCGGCAAGACGGACGGTTTCCTTGATGGCCATTGCGGAGTTGGGTTCAAATGGAGTTTCAACTGGAGGTGGTTTTGATCCAGGAAGTGGTTTTGATCCATCTCGAAACGGATCTTCCTCTTCTAAACTACCTGAAGAGTTCCTGGCCTTGAGACGGGCTTGTGCTGCTTGACTAGAGCAAGAAAGGCCATGTGAGCTAATTCTTACAGCACAGAGAAATTCCGCTAAAAACCACTTACTCTACAGTCATAGAAAGCAGTTGAAAGGAATACGTTTGATCATTCGCGTATGTCAGAGTACCACTCCATAACGTCACGTTTTTAGTAGTAGGCCCTCTACCTCCCAACTTGCCCAAGATTTCCTTTCTTACAATTGTAGAATCCTTCAGTAAGGTTCTACCTATACTTGGATGGGCTGTTTTGGGACGATACGAGGCAAATGCAACAGAGAAGGGAGCTAGCGTTGCATCATTCAGAAAGTGATTGGCTGATATCAACGATCCTCCATAAGCCCGTAGAATGGCACATAAAGAATGACGTATATAAGGGACGACAGTCTCGTTCAATGACGTTGTATCCAAGAATTGGGGATCAATCCAATTGATTGCAGTTCGTTTATCTAGATATCCGTCCAGCAAGCCATTCCCAAGGAAGGCAGTTTGGATGGTGTCGAGGTATGGTTCAGCAGCTTCAGATGTTTCTAATACGTTTACAAATGATGTCGTGGCACCTACTTGAGGTTCTATAAAACTATCTCCTTCAACAAACTGACGTAGTTCTGCGACTGATTTGGGCGCTGCGGATACGAGAAACAGATAGTTGCGTATTCGTACAGGTGCATTCAGACTCGTTGCACGCCGTCCAGCGGGTCGTGCAGGAGACTGGAAGAAGCCTGATTGTGGAGTAAAGGACCATCCGAAATCTACTAGAGCTTTACGTAAAACCATGTTCATATTCTCGACGGGTGGAGCGACGAGCAACGCTGGTGGTAGATCATCCTTTGCTGTATCTGCTGCTCTATTCATTGCCACCTGAATAGCATTATCCAGCATCGCCAAAGCAGAAGGTCTCAGATCACGGCTCCTTTTCGAGTCTGACTTTTTGGCAGGAGCGAATGATGCACCTTCCTGTTGATCGAATATCTGGAAGCCCCAAGATATCCTCGAGTCGACTCGTAAATAAAAGAAGAGTAGGGTTTTTAGAATGACGAATCGTAGTGTCCTTGCAGACTCTTCTGATTCACATTGTTTAGAATCAATGAGGAAGATGAGGTTTGGAGCACCCCGAGCTGTGGCCGAGGGTGATCCGAATGCGGGAGGTGGTAATTGCATTTCAAAATTTCTTGATATAAGATATTAGTTTGTAGCCTTTGTTGTTCACTCCTTGTATTTGTACGAATGGAAATCGTTTTAGTTTTTGATGTTGGAGCTGCGAGTGACTGTACAGTAGATGTAGAGGTCTCCACCTGATGTAACATCCAGGTCCTATGCCATCGACTAGTACCGACTATAATCCAACACTCGACTTGTCTATACTCGATACCTATTACTCACAAACTCACTGTTTTTGTTAAACTTGGTGCAAGTCCAAAATCAAAAGCTTGCTTAGTAGAAACCAAGCGACAAAAGCAGCCAAGTCATAGTATTTCAGTACCGAATCAACTCTTAAACACGCGAAAACATGTCAAATCACGTTCTAGCAATATATTTCATATGCGTCAAAGAAAAAAAGCAAATTAACTATGGTATACACTATTATTGCATGTAGACAATTTTAGAGTGAGATTATAGATTCAACTACAGCACAACATAAGGCTGCTTGTTTAACCTTCTTTTGTCTTGCTACTCCAGCAAAACTACCACACTCTGCAAGTCCTTGGAATCCTAACTCATTCAAGACCTGCGATGCATGTACTCCAAAGACTAGTCCAGCTAGCTGTTGTGGCTGTCCTGGCTTTTTGGGTTGTATGGTATTAGCGGGACTAGGTGTATTGACACGCGGCGGTTGTTGATTCGGTGGAAGTGCCACGACAGCCTTCAGTATCGACTGTACAGCTTCAATGATGGGTGGTGACTGGGAGGTGCTCAGCGCTTGCATCATTTTGCCATAGAGGCTCTCGTATCTATTTATCCATTGTGTTGGGGTGTTAGTTAATGTGCAAAAAAACCAGACGAATCGTTTTATGGTATCACTTACAATAGTGAAAAGACCTCTGGTGCTGATTGAGCAGTCTCGGCGACAAATCCATATATGAAGAGTGTCTCAGACTCATACTCGACATTCTCCAACATGGTTACCAACACACTGGCAGCCAACGTTATGGAAGTGGTCTCATTGATGACAAAGTTATCCAGCATTCGAGGAGCATTCCATATCTTTTTTCTAGTTTGATTCGATGCCGGGGTAGTTCCACGCGACAAAGCATCTCTCGAGCCAAATGCAGGAACAGCGTTCGATATGGGTGTATATGGCATTTCTGCTTCAGGATCTAGCTCTGGATTCTGTATACCGGCCGTGGCTAGAAGCTGTCTTATATGATCGGATCCCGGTAGAAGAGGCACGAGGTATCCTAAACGATCTGTACCAATACGTGTTGTGGTCGTATCGGCTGTACGTCGTAAATCTGGTGGATTACGTGCCGCAATACGTAAGAATGTCAAAAGGACTGAAGTAGTAGCGGTACGAGTAGATGGATGCCGAAGTCCTTTCAACAATGTAGCGGCGATGGCGAATGGGAAGTCGTTCTAACGATAAGATAGCAAAAAAAAAAAAAAACGTTAGACAAGCCGTGCAAATAGATTCCAATCTGGTTACACCACGTACTCGGAAATGTATGCCAGATGCAGCATCAAGCTGACCAGCAGCCTCTATTATAGCTCCTCTAGCCTGCATTAGCGGTGGAGCAATACCCTCTTCTTCAAACAGCCCTTGAGCTTCCAGCGTTCGAAGACTGACTTGCAGCAGCAGCAGTGCACTCTGGAAGATTGGCACATGTCCTATCTGCAATAGCGCTATAGCCAGCCAAAAAATGGTTCGTAGATAGCGAGATTCGTCCGTCAGCCCTCCAACAATATTACATAGTGCCATGATGATACTGACGATTAAACTACAGTCATTGTCTTCAAACAATGTCAGAGCTCCTCGTAATGCCACTAGTATCTGATGCAGCAAATCATCATCAACGTCATCTCGAGCTAGACATCCAAGAGCTACGAATGCTCGTGGCTGGACGGCAGGATTATATTGGAAGGCTGTGCTAGCTATGAGACTCATCCATCGTGCCTTCCACGTTGAAGATTGTTCTAAACAAACATGATGTGTTAGCTAGCAGTGCGGGAAAAAAACACTGGAGAGACGCGCCCATATCTGTACCTGGGTCAATAGTTCCATACGTCAACACATCTAACAACATATTAACAACCGTCTCAACACTCGACAATGGTACATCCTTGGCCATATCAGTCGATTGTGTCTCTGAATAATGCATAAAGGCAGCATTTGCGTTGGCGTTACTCCATTGCTTGCCAGTATTAGCAGCTGATGTTGCAACGACTCCAAATACAGCTGCACCCCGACTCTCTGACAACTCATTCAATATAATCTGTAAAGTGCCCAGACTAGCATCATCCAAATCCATTGACGTACATACAGATTGCACAACATTGATCATGGCTCCTCGAAGCGACGCCCGCGTCCCTAGACTGCCGAGACCAAATACTAGACATCCAATATGCACCAATTCAGCGGCATATTGTTGTACGTTGAGTCGATTGTTGAATGATAACATGAGTGCAAATCGGATCAGGACGGCAACCTCCATCCATGATGGATGGTCGACTAGCGATTGTGTTGGATTCAGAGCTGTGGCTGCGAGTACTCGTCGTATCCTTGAAATAATCTTGCCAGCTACAATGTTGACGTTTACAGAAGCCAGAGTCACTGTAGTGTTGGCCAACACTTCAGTTTGGACTGATCCTACTCCTGATTCAACAGCGCCTTGTATGAAACTATCTAGTACTATAGGCACAAACTCGTCTACTCGACCAAGAGCCGTCCACACTGTTGCTTGAACAAGAGGGTCCATCTACAATGTTAAGCAAGTGAGTGTTGATGCAAAATACGCGGCGGATAGTACTCTCAATTTAACAGGAGCAATCATACCTCTCTCTCCTTGACTGTGATATCAATGAGCGATTTAAGCACATCTCGTAACTTGTTCAGTTGCTGAGAATACGCATCCTCTACACTCCCTTCTGCAACTTGCAGAGTACCAGCTCTAGCAAACGCACCAAGATTCGACAGCCATGGAGCCATATATTCGAGACAGTGATGCTTGAGCTCCTTGTTAGATTTGGCAAAACCAAGTCCACATTCCAGCAAGAATTCCAATGTCAAGTGTTGCTCTGTAGCTGCAAGCCGCTGAGATATCGAAATCACAAACCCGTGATTGTTGGCAGGTATACATAAGCCTAAAAACGACAAGACTTTTAATACCACGACAAAAAAAATTGACTCCACATTGAATCAATGGCTCACCTTTAGCACTTAACAACTGATTCCCAACGTCAAACGAGAACGCCATACTCAAAGCACACAACAAATTATAACTCGCCAATCTCAAATTAGGATCTTCAGATCCTATATTGAGTAGTGCCATATTGAGCAAAGTACCTGGCACATCACTCGGTCTCAGCGTCCGTTGATCAGCGATAATATTAGCAGGTTTTGATAATTGGAATCGAGCAATGGCGGCTCGAACTGATTGTAGCACCAAATCTCGTTTTGCTGATGAGAAGGTCACTACCGAGACGGCAGTACTTGATGCTCCTATACCATCACCAAATGATCCAACACGTTCAACTATTTTGAAAGTGAATTCTTGATCATCTGGTTTTGTTGGTGATGAGCCTACACTCTCGATATCGGATACATGGAAGACGTCATTCATTATTGATGTGTATCCGAGAATGTCTTGTTTCTTGACCTAGGGACGACATGAAAAGAGATCAGAAACGCAGGGCAAAAACGAAAAACGTAGGTGATCGACTACATACCGAAGTAATTTGAATCATTTCCTGATTGACTTTAATAACCACTGGCATCTGTTGTCGATAACTCGTGACTTTGTTTACAGCTGCGAATGTAGCAGTGACTTCCTTCTCCAGAGCAACTAAACCAAACGGAAAAGTCAGACCTCAGCATCTTTATATAACTTCTGTCGTCATATAAGTACCTGTTGACTTTGGCAACCTCAAATCCGTAATATGTTCACCAAACTCGCTCAAATTAGAATAAAACAAGACTCGTTTCCCAAGTTTGCCTTGATACTTTGGAAACTTTTTAGAGTATTTTCGAAGAGCCATATTGGCATTGAAAATGTACAAGCTCGACATTGATGTGGCTGCATCGTATGGAAGGAGTTTCTCTAATCGAGCAATCCATTCTGGACTCCACTCATTCGCTGCACTGAACTGAGTCGCGTCCAAAACCACTTCGAAGGGGGATGATACGAATGGTTTCATTGTCTAGGTTTTGACCAAACGGTGAGTTGCAAAAACATCACGAACGAAGACCGCAAATACCTTGAGAATGTGATACACCAGCAACTCCATATCCATAGTCTCTGGCACTACTTTGTGTGCAATGTAATAAAGTACTGGTCGACGTTCCTAGAATTTACAGGCATCAGTAAATAATTCATTCATGTGTAGTAGCATTTTTGTTCTCATAATACCTTAGACATTCCTGCATCAAAGAAAAACTTCAACTCCCTCATCTGCTCAATAGCTTTAGCAGATCCAGCTCGACTCTCAACACGAGTCATAAACTCTGAAACTAACTGTCCAGTAGCCGATGCACCAGGTCGCATAATGGTGCCCCCCAGAGCAGATCTTCGTCGAGCATGCATTGTAATATCATTGGCTTCTAATCGACTGACTTCAATAGGTGGTCCCAATTGGGTCAATAATGTCGACAAGGCTGCAAAAGCGTGGCGACGACTACTAGCTGCTATATCTGCTACATCTACAGAGGCATCTCCTGCACCTGCTAGTGCTTCGACAGCATTTAGGGATCCAGTTGTGGTTACTCGAGATATAGATTCACCAGGTCTCACAGTCAGTTTCTTGCCTTCTGGTGAGGTTGGTTGTGTGGTGGTAGGTAATTGTTTTACAGTAGCGGCAAATTTTTCTAGCCGATCTTGATTTAGGACTAGATGACGATGTAAACGATACACATCATTTTCGTGTAAGCGAGCGCCGATAGGAGATACTGGTAAAGACTCTGGTGCTGGATACCCTGCCACATTCTAAAGTTTGGGGTATCAGATGAGCAAAAAGCGAAACAAGGCTGACATGTCATAACTTACAGCTATATCCTTCAGAAACGTATGCACTCTAGTTACATTTTCCTTCAGCAATTCATTCATAGACAGCATATATGTTTCCTTGGAACCAAACAAGACATTGTTGGCCAGATTTTGAATGACTTTGGTTATCAATAGTAGCCCACGTCTCAAATCCTTGCTCTACGCCAACAAAACTTATTTAGGAAGGACAAAAAAATGAATGTATCGGTTCACGTACGCACCTGAATCTGAGGCACCAAATCAGCACCTTCCGGAGACACTATAGCAGGACACAGAAACCTCAAAAACACAAATCCACCAACAGCTGTAATACGAGCTTCAGGGAATCGCTCAGAGACAGCTTTTGCTATATGCTCACAAACTTCTCGAAGCTGCCGTGGGAATTTAGGACCACTGCTCAATATAGCATCCAAGAATCCTTGAGTCACAGTTGTCAGATTCTTGAGATTTTTGGCCAAGTCATCAGTAGCGCCCAGTTTTATTGGGTCTACTTCGAAGGATGGAGATGGTTGTCGAGATACCAAGTCTCGTAATATTGGACCAAGAGTTAAGTGAAGATAATCTTGACCATTCAGACGTCCAAATATGGTCAGCATACGAGTTGCGATCGAGTTACGGCGGAAGAGATTTGTTGGAGAGTCTAAAAGACGCCTTACTTAAAAATCAAGCAAAAAAACGTTGGACCACATCAGCACAGGCGATTCCTACCAGTCTTCATGACCTCAATAGCAATAACAGCAGCCAACAACCTTATACTCTGTCCACGTGCCTCAAACAAGGACAGAAGCACCTGCGCAATCTCATCACTCTCACTAACAGGAGCAACTTCACAAAGCGCCCTTGACAAAAAGAAAAGAAAGGAAGTAAATATCCCAACAACTCTAGGTTTTGTTTTGCACACTCACTTGACAATCTCCATCCCAGGCTCAAGTATCAAATCCATCAGCTTCTCATACCGATCCGTCTGTCCTCGTTCTTCATTACCCAATCCTTCAAACTGATCAGCAGCACCCATACTCAGTACATTTGTCAAAACTTGGATAAATGCTGCTCGAGTCTTGCTATCTTCGTGGTATCCCATACTCAGTGAGAATTTAAGTCCGATGTCGATGTTTGAGGATAAGAGATTCGATAATGCGAGTATGGTGTAATCTTTTAATGGACCGAGGTACTGTATCATTTCTTTTGATTTGGCTAGCAGGTTTTGCAAATCAGCTGTAAGGGTTGCTCCTGGTGCTGTATGGGTTGTTTCGATTGTCTAGCGAATCTTGATGTTAGAACTCGTTTTCTCGACCTCTATAGGGCTTTATTTTGCTTCACTCACCTCCAACAACTTGCACTTTTGCAGCACTTTCAGAAAGAAACTGAAATACTTGTAAAACAACCGTCCCTTGTTTTCAGCGGATGCGTCATTGGCATTGATGGAACCAAGCATCTCGCTTGTTGTTGGTTGAAGAGGAAGTCCAGCTAGTAAAGCAACCATGGCTTTCATAGCTTCCAAGTCCAAATCTCGTGGTAACTTTTGATTTTTGGATATTGATAAATCATCAGAGACGGTGCCTGATACCACATCCATCAACGCCTAGAGTAAAACTTGTCAATATCGGAATAACGCAAAAAAAACCTTAACTCAACCGCCTCATACCTCTCTACCAACAAACGAGAACTCTGAATTCCATTCCAGAATGAGCTCAACCTAATTTATACACATGACTAAATCAAGAAACTAAAAATGTGCAAAATAAAGAAATCGTGACTCTCTCTTGCACTCAAATCGTACCAGTCGATTCCTTAACTTGATCTCCTGTCTCAACCCTACAATCTGTTTCTTCTCAACCAGCTTCTCAACCAGCTGACACAGGCGTATTTTGCCCTTCATCGATGCAGATTGCTGACCAGGCAAAACGCCCAACCGAGACAAATACAAAGTGATTTGTAACAACAGACCACCAAAATCAACTGCTGCAAGTGGATCTCCACGTTCAGCGAGTTCTTCAGCCCGTTCGAGTATGATGCGTAATACAGATATCATGGATTCGACTAGTAGGGTATGTCGTTCAGAGCAGAGGGCTTCACCAGTGTTTGGGTCAAAGAAGCGGGATGAGGTTGTTTCAAGTTGGGCGAAAAGAATTCCTGCGAACAAAACAGCCAGAGTTGTTGACAACTGAAGGGCACCAATCTCATCCTCTCAAACAACCACATACCATATAAACCAGGTGCCATTTCAGAACCCAAGAATTCCTTCACTACTTCTCGAACGACAGCATTATCAGCAACAAGAAGGTCGACCATCTCGCTAACAAATCGTTCCACCATTTTCTTGGCTGCTGCATATGCACCCATCAATTGTGAGTTTGCAAATGATTGCTGTCCTCCTTCAAGCGATGAGGTGTCTCCTAAGGGATACCAGCAAGGCCAGTTGGTCAAGTTTCCAATAAAACCTCATAGCGATTCGTGATTCTAGTCTTTTTACCAGCATCAAATCCAAAACTACTAAACTCACCTGAAGAAGACGTCGCAACAGTAGCCAACGAAGCCGACGATGCAGAAGCCTGTGGATTCTGATACGGGGAAGCAGCAGGTGGCGTTGACATGGCACTCAATTCACTAGCCAGCAAACAACATCCGCCAAGAGCACACAAGAACCCTGTATAATTCTGCCATTCACCGCGATCTTCCGGATACTCGGCAGCATTCGTTATAGAAGGTCGTGGTGGAGGAGCTCTGAAATTACTTCGAGATCCAGTCAATGACTCCTTGTCCATTTCTGAATTTATGCTGGCTGGATATGATTTCGAGGTGATGAATTGTGATAGGGAGCGCCATCGACGATATACTTCTTCCCATGCTCCCATATTACCGGCTGTAGGTCGTTCGAAATTACGTAGACATGCTCTCATGCGCTTTTGCAAGCCACGCTGTCCGCGCACTCCGTGATTCAGCAGTGCAATCATGTCTCGATACATTGATATGTTTTCAACTACAGTCAATAGCGAGGTTCCAATAGTATTCTGATTGTTTCCAGATTGACCATGTCGTAATGTTCCAGCGTTGGAGTCGTCATCAGGCACTGGACCCAATTCCAATCCAGAAAAATCTGATATAGACCATGTCGGATGTGCACTGGGTGCTTCACCAGTGATTTCAGCTTCTTCAACCAGAAATCCTAGACACTGTACAGCACATATCGATACATCTGGTTCAGAGCAACATACAAATACCAGGAGAGCAACTTCCAAAGCTACAGAAGCTGCTAATCTGTCTGGTACACTAGTAGCTATAGACAAATCACTAGGCGAGTATCGTCTCAGATGCTCATTCCTCCTCCTTAATAATTCACGGACCAGTTCAAAGAGGTATCGTATACTAGATAGTGAGCCAGTAGTACCAGCAGCTGCTCCAGATGCCACTAAGTCAGCAGCCACGCTAGTCTTGTCAATCTCTCCCTTGACATCCAAGACTAATTTACCAAGCGACAATAGTATTTGGCTCGATATACGCCAGAATCGTCGCAAAGTGTTTGATGTCTCTGTTAAATCACCGTCATCTAAAGGTGCTCTCCAATCAGGTCTCGTTCCATCCCATTGTGGAATGAATTCGGGATCAAATATCTGTAGGATGGCTTCGGCTGCCTTATTTCGTATTCCACTAGATGGATCTATGGTACAAGTCGCAATACCCGCCAGCAAGGCTCGTAGAGACTCTGGTGATAGTATTGTATGATCGGCCTGAAAAATTATGTTGGTCAGTGCTGAAGACGAAAAAAAGTCCAAACCACCGCTTACCGCAATAGCCAAAAGAGGACATCTACACCACGTCCTGAGAATATAGTAAATGATATCATTCTTCTCTGTGATTTCTTCGACCGCTCTCTTGGCCTTTTTATCAGTTTGACTAGATATGAAGGATGCGAGCTTCTTATTTTTGGGATCAACTGTTCCAGCTTTTCCGATTGCTTCCAGGAATAAGTCTCTCAGTGGTTTAGCTAGTGATGCGTCTATTGTTGGATTCCAAGGTAGAGGTATCTAAAGAATTGCCGAAAGGTTATACGATCGTGTACGCCATAATTACAAACGAACGTCTTTTTGTTATGAACCTTCAACTCTAGCGGATCAATTTGACATGTTTGGCTCACCTCACTAACAATGGAATAACAGCTCTTAACCAGCACCACCTTAAACGACATTGGAGCAGCAGAATCCAGCATGATTGGCACCAGACCTCTCAGCGTAGTCCACGTATTCAATTTAAACAGTGCCGTAAGACATTCAGTCATCAACTTCTGATCGACAGCATTATCACCAGAAGCACCAGGTGGACCAGGCGGGTTGACAGGTACGGCAGGATCAAATAACTTGTCCTTCAATTCATTTTCGATATTTGGCACAATCATTCTCAATGCGCTTCCGTCCTGTTTACTGACATATGTGCTGGCTCTACATATATCGACATAACAGAGTGCAGCTGCGTCTCCTGCTCCTCGTGTTTTCAGTGATTTCTTCATGGTTTCGAGAAATGCGGCTTTGTTTACGGATGATGAGAGTGATGGATGGCCTTTGAGGGATTTTGATTGATTGCTTGCTCCTTGCATTCCAACATTGTATAAAATGTCTGGACATAGTATTAATAACATTGTGAGGGTCGGCCAGAATACAGATTTTCGTTTCGAGGATTCTGACATTGCGAATAGTGAATCGAATAATACGTCAGGACCACCTAAAATTGAATCAAGAAGAAAAAAATTAAAATACGAACGACGTTTGAATACTCCATCAAGCGGCAGTCCTTACCTTCCAACTTCTTTTGTGATGAGAATAGAGCCACCAATTCCAACGGAAATGTCTCAATCCAATTCCATATCACCCTCCTCAACACTATGAGAGCGTAGTGTGCGGTACGTTTCGAGAATTTAGGCGAGTAGGTGGTGAATTCTACAACGATCGGATTGAGTCTTAGCCTTTTTTCATCTCTGTCAACCTCGTCGACCAAAATATTTTTCAGGACTCACCATTCAGCACTTGACCCAACCTCGCTCTATTCAACGAACACCATTCAAGCATCTTGAATTCAGTCAAATCCCCTTCATATTCTGCCGGACCAGCAGCAGTAAACCCCCCAAATCTCGCCTTGATCCTAGAGAACACTGTCGGCCAATTGGCAGCTGATATATAAAAAAGCACACGACCAGCGGCTCTTTGTATTTCCTGACTGATTTCAGATCCCGGACCACTCCCCGTCAATGGAGACTGTGGTGGCGAGTCTCGTATCTGTGGAGATCCAGACTGGCTAACTGTATTATATAGTCCTTGCATAGATCCACTCAATCCTGTAGATGAATTATGAATTGATGATAAATTCGATAAAGAGGATAAAGATAGTGATCCACGTAGTGCTCCAGATATTGATTTTGATTTCGTTGTTCCGGTTCCTGTTGGGCCAGGGTGTCCATCTTGTCCTCCCCAGTCCATTAGCGACCAACCTGGCCCTGATCCAACTTGATGTGATATTATATCCGTGTTTATAGTTGATGATGAAGTATTAAAGAAGCGGGCTACGACATTTAAGATGTATTTTGCTAATTGGTCGTCGAGTGGTTGGAAGTGGTCGTCGTATGTTGGCGAAGGTGGTCCTCCAGCAGCAGGAGATATCTGTGCAGGTCCATTTGGTGATGTCATTATAGATATTCGGTGGAGCGTTGGCGAGTCGGGGAAGAGACTATGTGGTGTTGCTGGTTTGGCTAAAAGAACCAGACGTGAGTACTGAAATGATGACGTGACAATACAAGATTTTCGTCCGGCCCATACCATTTGAGGCAGCTAGTCCTTCTCGAAAACACTTCCAAGAGTATGCCAGACAGTTCGCCAGCATTCTCAATACATATAACTGTGAATGCATGACCTCTTCCTTGACAAAAGCATCGTCGCCAGGATTTCCAGATCCCTGTTTTGATAGATTGTTACCACCACTCTTCGTCACATTGAATTTTATTGACAAATACCTTGGAAACGGCATCCAGGAGACTAGTCAGAGCCCCAGCGACTTCCTTTAGTCGATATTGGGATAGTTCGATTAGAGACTGGACGGTCTGGACGAATACCGTGTCGGATTCGAGTACTTGTATGCTGACATTTGAGTTTACAGGCAGCTGGTGGTAAATGGTGGGGTTGTTAGAGTAGGAGTAGATTACCGTGGTCGAACATTGGCTTGGGAATGTAAATTGATCAATGTTGGCAAGACCTCCAGGCCAAGCGAGGGGACAGAGTCAAACAGCAGATAAATAAACTAGGATGCGACTTGCCTTTTCAGCTACTCTCTGGACCAGGATAACCAGGAGTTTCGTATTGGTATTGTCCGACATAGGTCCTGCCCTAGTTTAAAGAACGATCTGTGAAGTTAGACAGACGAATGTTGTTTATAATGAGTGAAGAAAGCGAGAGGCGCTTACAGAGTTAACAATGCACAGGCACTCTGCCACCTCCTTACACCCTACGCTGGTCGTTTAAAAACACCCTCAGTTTGTCGAATTGTTAACGACAAGTTATCAAATAGATGTAACAGGGCGCCACGCGTGATATTCCACTAGAACAATGCTAAAGAGTACCAGAACCGTTTATAAATGCTATTCAACAACTCATGACCCTTGATTTTATTCCATCTTGCACCTCAATATTGGCCACTCCTCGTATCTCATATTAGAACAAGAACGCCCTTCCTTAACGTGATTTATTCAGTCAAGACGTGCTAAAAAATTGATGCCAACTTGATCTAGCTTGATCCGTCCTGTCCTAGACGTGTGTTATAGGAGTCAAGTTTTTTTGCTTCGTTTGATCAACACATCACCCTTAAACAAGCGACTTGAACCAGCACCAGAACGATGAGCGCAAGCACTGAGCGCAAGCAGCCACATTCACTAGTATTCTGCTCGTGTTGCGGTGCTCTGCTTGACCCTCCTACTGGAAATGAAGAAACCATTGCCTGCCATCAGTGTGATACTGTCATGCCTTCCCATCGTATGTCTTATTGAGGGTCATATGTATTGTATTGATGTATTGATTGTACTGTATACTAACTCTACTCTTCCGCTAGTCTTTGAAGCCATTGAAGTCTTTTCGAAAAGTCATCCAGATGCCTTCCCACATCGACCGAAACTAGACTCGGACCCGAGAGATGCCACGGCGAGAGATGCCACGGTATACAATATGCTAGAACTTATATCATGAGCTTAATTGCTTACATCTTATACCTAGATCGATGAAAAGTGTCCTAAATGTGACGCCGACCAGTTGAGCTTCCATACTGCCCAACTGAGATCTGCCGATGAAGGCCAAACTGTATTCTATTCCTGCCTCAAGTGTGGTACGTGCTTGGATTGAACTGGTTGGATCATTCTATGGTCATCGCCAATCGTATTTTCTTTTGCTCGTAGGCTACAAGTATTCAATCAACTCATAAACACTTCGACCTCAAATACCACTTGTAATTCTATTTTCAATTCAATCTAAATTATATTTGGGCAGCATTTGACTTGGGTTTAATTGTGGGTCCTCTTGTTGATTTCAGAGCTAGCTTGGTTCTACAAGTTCAGAAAGATTCGTTGATTTGTAGCCCTTTTATCACAAAATACAAATGCATCACATACCTCTTGAGCTGCAAAGCAGCAATCTCCACTTTCCTCGTCCACATGCCAACCTTATGTTCCAAATCATGCTGCAAAGCCTTGTAATGCACATAGTCCATCACATCAGGCACCCGGTACGACTCTGCCAACGACTGGAAACTCGCATTCGAGGTCTGGATCTTGGCAATATCTCCATTCACCTTCTCCTCCTCTTGAATCAATCGTGTCAACATATCGCGTCTGGACTCGATCTCTTGCACCAGTCTCTCAGAATCCTTCATCGTATCATTCAGCGCTTCCTTGTGTGTGTTAAGTAAATGTTGGGTGTTTCCAGCGGCGAGTTTGAGAGCGACTAGTTCCGTGTTTCGTTCTTCGATACGGGCCAAGTATTGCTTATTTTCGATTTGGAGTTGGTCGAAATCAATGGCATGGAGGACATCGCCCATTTCTTCTTTTTGGCGTAATTGTTGCGAGAGGTTGTTGCGTTGAGATTTTAGAGAGGCGTTCTTGAGTCGTAGTTTTTCTATGATTGCGTCCTAGAACAAAGAAATCGTGAAGATTGGGCGCAAAAGTGAAAAAAAGTGACAAGCTCTGAAGCAATCACTGAACAATTCGGCTGTCAGTACACCTCGACATTTTATGTTACCTTGGCACGTAAATGATCTTCAATCCACCTTTGAACTCGTTCAGCCATAACTTTGCCAGTTCGTTCACTGATAGCACTCTGAACAACATCCCTCTTGAATTCATACATGGCTTTCTTGATTTCGGCTGTTCGAATTTCAACCTCTTCGATCTCAGCCTATACAGTGTCCATTGTTTTAGCAAAAAAAACTCAGCACGGCACAAGATTGCACGATCAAAGTCGATCTATACCTTGAGATTATCAACAAACCGCGTCCACCCTTCCTTCTCCTTCTCAATCTCATCCTTTAACTCATCAAGCGCTCTCGAAGCAACCTCAGCACGTTGCTCAGGCGTCAACAACACAATCTTTTCCTGCTCATTAGCCCGATTCTTATCACCCTTCTTCTTTTTTTCCTTTTTAGACGCGTCATCAACTCCCAAAGCATTCGAATCCTTGTTGCCCGTAGCTCCTCCCATCTTGCCATTATCATCAGGAAGCAATGGCCCAATTCTAGCAAGATATGAATCGAATAGCTTGTTTTCAGTTTCCAGTCTTGCGTTTTTCTTCTTGAGTTCGGTTAGGAGGAGAGATAGTTCTGCGTTTGTGCACGTTTCGACGTCTTCTGCTCGGGTGGTTGTGTCGCATAAAATGTCAGTTGCTGTTGGTTGTTGGGATTGTTGTTGGGCTTGTTGGTCCATTGACATGGAGGGTATGAAGGATGCATTCGAGTCCATTATTTTTTATCTCGTTAGGTTTATGGCAGTATATGGTCGAAATCGTGTGTTGGTTTTCTTGAATGCACAGTTTAGTTTTTGCAACAGAAATGTCCCGGTGGCAGCAAGATCAACAAAGTTCTGGGCGACAGCTGAATCAAATACTACTGGCATGACGTATACGATGTTCAGATTACCTGATGTATGCTTCTTAGTGTTTCGAATTCTCTGGAGTCGGCGTAGTTGCAGTTGGTGATGAACAGACGCAAAAAAAAAAATAGATCATTTCAGAAACGCTTAGCTTCCCACTTGCTGATTTTGCATGGGATCTTGCTACTCAATTGTATCATCCTCGCAGCATACTATTTGATGATACTATTTGATGAGTGCAAGATTTTCACGCATTGAACTGGACACGTCACAAAGTCAGTTGTATGGACCAAATCAGTAACTCCTGTTGTGCAGAACCCCACATGCACATCTTTCTTATGCTTTTAACAAGTGTGCGATACTTCAACCTTCACCTCTGTCACAACAAGAAGATTGGAGGACGATACATACAAGCAACCTCCAAATATCGTCTTGCCAGTTTCTCACAATCTCCCTACGCATCGTTGCAATGCCTGCGACTAGATATTTCATATGGACACTCGGTGTTTTGGTCGCAAGTTTAACTGTCGTTGCTGGATGTGATGTTGCCCTTTTGTGCCGATAGACAATTGTGTAAGTGGTTTCGACTGCATTTGGAAAAGCAGATGTATATATCGCTACCAAGCATAGGTAAACGACTGTGCTACCTGCGTATCGTTGTTGTCTACTTGTTTCTAAATCGAGAGCTTCTTTTCTTCTAGGGTCAAATGTATACTGTACAGCCTGGAGATACATTGACGAGTATCGTCGAAAAGAACAATCTTGGACAATCTTGACCGATAGTTTCAACTAGTTCCCCTCAATCCTGGTTTGCAACTCGACCGGCCGATCCTTGCAAATAGTGCTATCTGCGTTTGTGGTGCAAGTGGTTGTCAAGACGCATTGGTTGTGTTGACGCACCAACAGCAGCAAACCCAACACCAGCACCTGCATCTTCTGATTCGGCAGGAATGGCACTTTCAGCATCGCCTATACCGCCGATATTATAGTCGTCAAATTTCTGTCTCCCAAGAGTGTGGCAGCTCCATTAGCTACTAGTGACTTCTTTACGTGATTTACGCGTAGATGCATCGCTCACATGTAGATCTATATGTCTAGGTGTTGGATATATCATTGTTTGATGTTCAAATGTAGTGATTGAACGGGTCTGAATATAAAACTATAAAAAGCGAGGTGCTCTCGCCACATAAACAATTTCCAATATAACGTTATCTATCTAGTAAAACACGTCTCGCGTAATCTTGCTGAGAACTTCTTGAAATTCCAAAACGTTTGATTCTTTAATATCTTTGCCTTTCAGCATTACGTTTGATTCTTTAATATCTTTGCCTTTCAGCATTAGAAGAAAGTTTCTAATAAGATCAGAAACACTGTTTCATATCACATACGGTAAAGTACCCACCGTACCAGTTTCAAAACGTCCTCAAAAGAGCAGTCAAAGGCACAAAAAGTAGAGTACGCGGAATTCCTGGGTGATCTCTCACCCCAGTACTGCCCGCGCCGGTCGCAGCTTGACTTCACAGAGCTGACGGGATATGGTATTTTCTGCGACGTATGACCCTACCTGGTAAACTGAGGAACAAACTAGCTTTTAGAGATGGTTTTTGGGGGTGCAAACTTAGAAGTGGAGGCTCAAGGGAGCCCTCATCTGGTTCTGAAAGGTAAAACCATTTCGTCCTTATAAGAGAGGAGCTCAGTTTTGCCGTAGAAGCAAACTGTGGCCAATGCAAGGCTCTCGTCTGTATTAA